ATCGGCTATTGCTGCTCTGCACGTTATGACCTCCATAAGCAGTCTAGAGCATTATGGGTAGCATGGTTTGTAAACCAACTGCAGACATTTGTGTTGGATTAAAGAACAGGCAAGGATTTCTTCTAATGACTGGATTGGAATTGGCCAGCATTGGTAGGTGTTGAATTAACTATTTAGTCCAGACCATTATGAAAGAAACATATATAAACTATCATATATTTTATTACAAAGGGTTTAAATATGTTGTTCAGAAAACCACATTCCAGATGAAGTAAAATCCTTTATTTTTAAAAGGATAATTTAATTTTATTCAAAATGTAGGTCTTCTAGCACAATAATGCTAAGTGAAGCTTCAATAAACTGAGATTGATTCCCCTATTTTAAAACACTGGCATTTAGCAAAGCATGTTTGGTAGGTGCCTATCACAATATTTCTCTCAAATATATCTGTAAACATGATGGAAAAACATTTTCATGGTGAAAAGCAACTTATTGTAGCAGTCTTGGTGACATGCAGTACCCTGGCAACAATTGCCATTTAAATCCTGGAACAAGTAAAGATTTGACCACGTGCAACATTTCATCAGCAGGTATATATTCATCATATGCCTTCCCCCTCCAAAAACCCCTCCACCCTTTGTGTAGCTTGCAGAGTTTGTTTTGAACATTTGTTTTATCCAGAAATTTTGTATTGTTTCCCAATTGAATTATGTCACTTAACGTGTTCTGTTTCAATTCAGAGAAAATATGTAAAAAGCAAAGGTACTTTTCAAAGGGCAACTGGACTTCGTTTCTTCCCTTGAGGATATTTTGCTTTTCATCCAAGAAGCTTCTTCAGTTCTGAAGAAGTCCACTTCTGACTGAAGAACCTTCTTGGATGAGAAGTGAAATGTCTTCAAGGAAAAAACAAAGAAAGTCCAGTTGCCCTTTGAAAAGCACCTTTGACCGAGAATCTCCATAGACATGTAACTTCAGATATCTTCAGTGAACTACTACACCAGAATTCATTGATACTCTGTTGTGAATATTTATTAGTAAAAACAACCTCTGAATTACAGTATATACCTTAAGAGGAAAAAGTTATTTTAGAATGGGGCTGCTTTGGTATTGTAGCATGCAATTTATTTTCCTGGCATTGTTCAGCAATTTAATTTATTAAGTAATGAATTGATATCTGGAATTTCAGATGATTGCTCTGCTTTCTATCACAGTAATACTTTTAGAATGAACTTAGGATACTATAAAAGTATCCTAATTTTAAAACTTATTTACATACAGATACTACTATCAAAACTGTTAATATTTGCTCATTTGCTTCTAGACTAATGGAAGTTTGGCAGTAAATCAGTATAACAAAGACAAAAGCATAAATCGTTGCATGTGAATAATTAAATATTTATTTAAAAGATTTATATGGCTGCTCATCCTGGATAGCTAAAAAAACAATAAAAATTATCAAAACACGAAACCTTAATAAGAATTGCTAATACCTCACACATCAGCATTGTGTATTATTAGGCTCCATCCTCAATATGTCCTAATGCTAGTAATTTAAATTTAGCAAAATACCACTACCACTGAAATATATCTGCTACTTGAAAATAGATTCTACAATGATTGTACTGGAACTCCACTTTATTGTATGGGATATAACAACAGAATCTTGAAAGGTTGCTTTTATAGTTTCCCTCTGCCTGCTCTATAGTATGCAGAATTAAGGCAGGGTTTTTTTTAGAGTCTCTCTCTCTGGAAATATTCTTATTAGGAATGTTATTATTATTATTAGGAATAATTAAGGGAAACTTGAGCAAGATCATCCGATACATCATTATACATATAACTACAGCGAGAATAACCTTCGCACAGGGATGGAAGAAGGAAAAGATACCATCTGAAGAAGACTTGACACAAAAAATAATGGATTGTGCGGAACTGGATAAATTCACAATGGAATTAAGAGGCAAAGATGATTCAGACTATTATGCGGTTTGGGATAGGTGGTACAAATGGGTGGAAGATAGAAATAAGAGCTGATGTATAAAAGGAGAGGTATGTATTAATAACGACATGAACACTGTTAATGTGAATAGATATTTGTATTTTTGTTTTTTAAAAATAAAAATATTAAAATAAAATAAAATAACCTGATCTAAAACAAAGAGCAAACCTAGCACTAAGGATGGGCAGTTACTTTTTCAAGAATCCCTATTTGCTTTTTCTAAAATGGACTCCTTCCATTTCCATCATATAAAATATTTTTCTTTGAGCTACACAGCAAATACTGATTATCAGTGGCAATAAATAATACTTGAGGACAATCCACTGTAAAATGTCAGGAACTTTAAAATAAACATTTAAGTTCATTTAATACACAGCATGGTATAAAATATACAAATGAGTCTTGTAATCAAACATAATTTTAAAGTTCAGTATAAAAAACCACTGTTAAATTGAATACTATAACATTCAGAAAATAGTTGATTAACTGGGATGGTGTTTAAAAAACCATATCTCATTGATCTTGAACAAATACATAGCCTCCAATTAGTTCTGTCCTCAGTTTGAAACATCTCTCACTTAACCACAAGCTCTTGTGTATGGGCTACAGCAGTTGGTATTTTTCAGCTCATTTTAGATCATGAGTTGTTATGAGAAAATATTGTAGGAGAGTCTTGTTAGTCTATGGGAGCAAAAATCAGAAGTCTTCATCTTGATGGATGAGATTTAGCTCCGTGGCCTTCTCTTCATCATTGCAATGGTGTCAGAATAACAGAGTTGGAAGGGACCTTGGAGGTCTTCTAGTCCAATTGAAGTCTGGTGGCATCTTTTCTAACAAACATAAAAAGCTTTTTTTAGGCTCAACCCAAAAGGGAATAAACCCTCACTGTCCTTTGTAAGCACAGATATTAAAGCTGAAGCTCAAATATTTTAGTCATGTAATGAGAAGAGAGGACTGATTGGAAAAGACCCTGATGTTAAGAAAAATTGAAGGCAAATGGATAAGAAGACTAGAATATGAGATGATTAGATAGTGTCATCCATGCAATGAACATGAATTTGGGCAAATTTGGGAGACAGTGGAGGATGGAGGGGCCTGGCATGCTACGATCTATGAGGTTGTGAAGGGCTGGACACGACTGAAGAATATATTTTTCAGAAAAAGTGCTTTGATATTTTGCTCTGAGGATAAACAAGAGAAATTTCTTTCCATGTTTCCTTTCTTAGATTCATAGAATAGTAGACTATAAACATGAATGAAATAAATGTATTTGACCAAATCAAAGGACTAGACTATCTTCTCCCCACTTCTCCCCCTTTCTCCATCATATAAATCAACCTGCTCTTTACTATCAAAGGTCTTTCTGTGGATCCATCCTTCACCCGAGGCAAACCAAGGATAGGGTCTTCCATGCTTTGGTTCCTGCTTTTGCTGCAAGATACTCTCTTGAAATCAATTATAATATTTTCAGTACTATTTTCAAACTTCCTTTTTAAAATAACTTCTGTAATATTGTGTGCCCCTTTAAAAATGCTAAAGGTAAATAAATACAAATGTTTTGAAGTTAACAACAGATTTGGTGCATTGTACTCTGATCTTCAAAAATAAACACCCTCTTGTTTGCTAAACTTGGCTGAAAATGTGAAACATATATCATTGTTCTGTTTATGTTATGATTTCTTGGAAGAGGATTTCCAAGATCTTATGCAGTTATCCTTTTCAAATCATCCTGTAAATGCCAAGGGAATCTGGGACTGTGAGAGTAATAAAAGCTGACTTTTATAATCTTGGTTATATTTGCTAGTTCTGAGGATAAGCAATCCTATCAAGAGAAAGTTGTTGTAAGAGGATAAAGTATTATTTGCTTTGATCTGCCAAACAGAACCATTCATTTGGTGAAACAGGGCATACTGTTAGGACTATCAACCTATTATAAGTAAAACAATATATATTGGGCAAAGTCATATAAATATAAACATGTTTGAATAGGTATAATGCACATAAAAGGTGTATTCAGAGGGAATTAAAATTTTTAAAGTGCATGTCAAGGGCTGATAGTTAAAATGCTGCACAAAATATGTAAGAGAAAATTTCATACAAAAAATGTGAATATAACAAAATATTATATATGCCAATACACACAGATAATTTTTCAGCGTAAAAATGCAGAAAAGTTTATGGATCCGTTTAAGTACCTCAGTAGCTGTGACAGTAGCAGCGAGTGTATTTAAAACTGTCACTTGAGAAAGACTCAAATTTTTCTTTTGCAGTAAACAGCATCCTCTTTTACATCAATGCTAAATGTTAAAAGGGAATACTTGCATAAGCAGCTTTCTCCTTAATGTGGTATACATATGAAAACGATTGCTGTTACCATACAGTACACCCTGATATTATAGAACAAATTCAGTATAATATCTGAAAAAAGCAAAATAAGGAGTGTTGATTATTTTTGCTTAAGCAACTGAGAATCTACTTCCCCTGTCATGAGAGAATGCATGTATATCATCTATAGAGGAATGAACTGAGAGCATTACATTAAGAAGTTTTTAAATTCCTTGCAATACATTTATGGAGCTTTCGGGCAATTTGTTAAGGCTAGTTCTTGCCGCAATAAGTTTTTGCTGTTACAAGTAGTAACCCATTCTATCTACCACCGTCCCACTCCAAATGATTACAAATCCAATCCATGCTTTCATTCCAACTGGTTGCCTGCCTGTCTCCAGTGCGGCACAATCTACCCTCGTTGCCTTGCGTCGATCCCGGTGACGCTTGTGAGTGGCGGAGACCGAAAAGCTCCAAAGAGCGTGCAGCACGCTCATTGGCTAGGCCGGCAGCCTGTCTAGTGGAAGGGGGAATAGCGTGAGTGTGGGTTGCACGGCAGCACTCTGCCGCTGCGTCTGTCGGTGTCTGGGGCCGACCCGGCGGGCGGTGTGGGGAATTCGGGGAGGGGGGGGAGGGCGCGCAAGCGCGCGCGCGCGGGGGGGAACAGAGGGGGGGCGCCATTCGGTCCCGCGCGCTGTCTCGGCCAAGATGGCGGCGGGGACGGCATCGGCGGCCGTGGCCCGGTTAGAGGGCCGCGAGTTCGAATACCTCATGAAAAAGCGCTCAGTAACCATCGGCCGCAACTCCTCGCAGGGCTCGGTGGACGTAAGCATGGGCCACTCCAGTTTCATCTCCCGGCGGCACCTGGAGATTTTCACTGCCCCGCCCGCTCAGGCCCAGGCCCCTGCCAACAGCGGTAGCGGCCCCGCCTCAACCCTCACCGGCGACGGGACCGGGACTCAGTCGTCGCCTGTTGCCGCCAGTCCTTCGTCTGGCAGTGGTGATTTCTACCTGCGTTGCCTGGGCAAGAACGGCGTCTTCGTGGACGGAGTGTTCCAGCGCCGGGGGGCGCCACCGTTGCAGCTGCCCCGCGTGTGAGTGTGAGGAGGAGGAGGAGGGAGCGAGGGAATGCCGGTGGGTGGTGGTGGGGATTGAGACACGCGTTCCGGCCAAGACCTTTCTCTTCGCTCGCCGGTCGCCGCTCTCGCCTTCCCGGCGTGTTCGTCGGGCGGTGAGGGGGGCGTGAGAGGCGAGCCCAAGGCGTTTCAAGCATCTCCGGGGGCTCCAAGGCCGAAGGATGCCGCTTGCGGAGGAGGGAGCCTCGTTGTAGTGGCGGCAGCAGCACCCGCACAAGGAGCATTGAAGGGTGTCCGCAGCAGCAGCAGCAAGCAGCACATGAGCCCCGCTTCTTCGCTCAAGCTGGCCTAGATATGGCGCTTGGTTGCTCTCTGTTTTGTCCGGCTTTGGGATCACAAACGATTTATTGTGTGGGAAGCAACTCCTCTTGGGTTACAAAATCTTGAGTTTCGCCGTCATGGCTGCAGTTATGGATAAATACTCTCCCCCTCCCCCAATTACCTAGACTTGGGCTTCCAAGTTGTCTTCCAGGCTGCACACATGATGCACACACACACACTGCTGTACTTTTCGAGTAAGGGGGTGGTGGTGGTGTATGAGAGGCCTGGTGTTTTCAAGAGAAAACAGATGTACTTTTCAGTATTCAGCTAAAAGTGTGTGTGTTTTAATTTAAAAAAAGAAAAAATGGCGAGGGGATGGCTTAGAAAAGGAGCTGCTTTTGAAGGTATTCTGTTGATGAGAAAATATTTGGAGATCGTTACTCTTAAAATAGGAAAAGCATTTTGCAAATACAGTAAGGACAATAAGTACACCTCATTAAAAGTTAATTAGTGAAGTGTTTATTCATGGTGTCATCTTACTAGTGTAACTCATTGTGTTACTTGACTTTTGTAATTGTCACGCAGGGGATGTCATTTATTGGAAAGGCCAGCTATTCTGTTTTATTTTAATTCGGATTAAGTTAAAACAAATTAATAGAAATGTAGAGCCTCTCACTGTACTGCTTTGCATACTCTACAGTTGGAAAAAAGCATATCTTAGTATTACAATAAGGGATAATGCTGTAATCTAAAAATTTTTTGCAAATGCAGTCATTCAGTGACAAATGAGTGTAATCTCAATGTTGAAACTTTAAATGTATTTTTACTACTGTTCAGATTTATCAGTTACTCTGTCCAGATAGCTTTGAGAAAAAAATGCCCTTGTGGGTCTAGTGTTTTTGAATTCTCCTTTGTAGCTGTTTTGAACAACTTCTCCATTAAATCCTGTTGTCTTATAGATAACAACTCTGTGTAAAAGTCTTTTATTATTTGAGTGTATCTTGGATGTACCAATGTAAGTCATAGAATGAAACAAACTATTATGTGATTATCTTTGATTATTATTTATCATTGCACATACCTTTTCACAGAATAATATATTTCTTAATAGTAGTTTATTTGTCTTTCCACCCATTCTAAATTTGAAAACCTTATACTTGCTTGCAAGAAAAAAATTCCATAAGAGTATAGTTATAAAATCAATTTACCTGCTGAATGTTAGGATATTGATAATATGTTCCTGCGCTGCAGTTTTTTTTTTTTTTGAAAGATGGTTTTGGATAATTTAACCACTGTTTTGTTAACATATATCGTCTTTAAATATTATTGTTAGCTAAAGACATATTGTACTTGCTAATTGATGATATGCAGTTCTAGTCATAGTAAAGCTGATTCTTACTGAAAACAAAGATTTTGATGGTAAACCTTATAATTTCAATACACATTTCAATTGTACTTAAATTAATAATCCATGTTTGTTACCCCAATATTACCCAAAATAAATCCTTCTGAATTTATGACAGTTCTCCAAAGGAAAATTAAACAGAAAATTTTTATTTCCCTGTATCACTGTATTCTGGTGAAGCTGACAATACTTCCATTTAAAGATGAATTATTTGGGAGAAAAAATTAATATACACATAAACATAGCATTTTTGTGGCTTGGCATTTTTTCTAGTTTCAGTTGTTAATGACTGTCAACATATGTAGCATGATACCTTTCATAGTAAAGAATCCTAATCTTGTTTAATTTTAGGATGAAGGCTTAGGTAATTTTGAGATCATCTTACTTACAGACTTCAAATTCCATTCACTTAAGATCTTTGCCCAGATTTGATCTCTCGTGTTTATTTCCACTTTGAAAATGCCCTGTTTAACAGTTTACACATATTACATTAAGATTTAATACCATTAATATTTTGATTTGGAAAAATACATAAAAGTCATACTAATTTTCATTTATTCAGAAAAATAGGTTGCAGAAATAACATCAGGGAATATACGGTATCACATGTAAGAGCCAGTAAATGAAAATATATATGATTTAATTGAAAAGTTTTCTCTCTCTTCCCCTCTCCCTCCCTCCCTCTGTGTGTGTGTTTGTGTGCATACATATATACACACATTCATACCACTATCAAATTATTTTTAATCTGCTATGTGATGGAAAGTAATGTCTTGAAATATAGACCATGAAGTTAAACTTATTCTGTATATAATAAAAGTTAAAATAATTATGCTAAGACTTACGTACTTTTGAAAGGAGTATTTTCCATATGAAAAATCATGCGAAATTGTGAACCAGAGTGGTGATTTGTATATGCCATTTATATTAATTCTAAGAAATTTATACTAACATAGATTATAGTCAGTTCCTTTATCTTAAACAAGTCTTTTATTTTTCACATAGTTTTAAAATTTTCTTATTTAACAATGTGAATTAAGAACTTTATGTTGGTATAACATTGGATTTCCAGTGATTAAAATAATAGGATTTGTTTTGAAATAAAGGCTACTAAATAGTGGTTAAAATATGGAGCTTTGATCTGACACAGTTTTTTTTAGAATTCTACAGTGGAGGTTATCAGTGGGGTACGAGAATAGTATGCAGGTTTTGTAAATTGAGAACTTTCAAATTGCAGTTGTTCAACCTGTGATGTTTCATCTTGAGCAAACAGTTGGCTTGTTAACAAATCCCTAATTATCAAAGTGGGTTTAATTGGTACTCTTACTTAAGAAGATTGGGATTGGTAATTCTAGTTAGTACTTAACAATATTCAGATGAGGCCTCAAAATCCAGAGATTTAAAAATATAAATGTATTCAGCTGTTTCCCCCCATTTTCAGCTATAACATTGGTTTCTTTTTGGTTTACAGAGATATTAATAGGGCTTGTAATATCTAGCATTGCAAAAACTGAAAATAATTTTGAGGTGTCTTAAAAATAAGCACTGATTATCCAGTAATGTTTTACGTTAGAGCTCTCTGTCCTTTTTAAAAAAAAATCATTTTGTGCTTGGCACAACTTAGAAATTAACAGGGATATCACAGTAAAGCAACTGTCTATGCAAGACTCCTTAGCTACATTAACCCTAATCCTAACCCTCAAAAAATTTGTATAGGTAGTCCTCAACTTAAAATTACTCACTTAGTGACTGTTTAATTATGACGGACACCCCCTGGGCTATTTATGACTAGGATTCAAACACAATGACCAATGCCCACCCACAGTCACATGATCATATTTTGAATGCTTGGCAGCTGGCTCGTATTTATGGCTGTGAATGATTGCTGCAAAAAAAGTCATCAAATCAGATGTGGTCACATGCTGACCTGCTTAATGATTAGCATGACTTACAACTGTAACTCTATGCTCAATTATAGTAGTAAGTCAAAGACTCCCTGTATATACAGATTTAGGTTTTAACCAAGTAAAAATGCCTGCTTTACAGACCACAAGCAAGAAAGTAATTGGTTGAGAATCCTGGACGTTATTACTGGGCTTCACCTAAAATGAAACTATCCATATGCTGTATGTGAAGGAAATAGTTCTTCGTTGAAATATAAAGAATGTTTGGCTGCAAAGTGCAATATGTTTATTAGGATCAAAAGTTCCTCACTCCTCGGCAACTAAGGACCACTTTCTGCCAATTTTTTTATTGTTGCAAGGAAAAATACATTGATTAATAATGTAGTGCCCCATTAGAAGGATAATACACCCTTGGTATAAATTAAGAAATTTTATATGGTTGCCCAATTCACTCTCGGCTGCTTAGAAAAATAAAACCTCATTACTCATACAATAACCCCGCATTATCCCTGGTGACTACTATCAGATGAGCCACTTGATGGGTTACATATCATTTTGGGGTCCCCAGATCCATTGGCAGAACTATGTTTTTAGGGCCTTTGAGTGTCAAGAGTGAGGGCCAATTCTATTTTTGCAGATCCTGATGTTTCACAGGGAAGGAGTACCATGGATAAGGCCATTCTTCTGGTCCCACTAAGTTAGACTCCCTTAGGAGGTTGAACCGATAGCATTCCCTGCCTGGTGGCGTTGGGTAGATATGACTGGAAAAAGATGGTTCTTCAAACAACCTGGTCCCAAGCCATGTAGGGCTTGATGTTGACAACTAGCATCTTGAATTTGACCTACAAGCAAATTGATAGCCAATATTGCTGCCCTAGGAAAGTTAACATGTGCAAATCTAGGTTGCATAAACCATGTAGACTGTCACATTTTGAACCTACTGAAGCTTTAGGAAACTTTTCAAGGGCAGCTCCATGCAGAGCACCTTGCAATAGTCAAGATGGGAAGTGACTAGCCTCTCATCTTGACTATTGTGTTCAGGAATCGTTGGTCCAGGAAAGGGCTTAACTGATGCACAACCTGTCTGTTGTGCAGAGGCTCTCCTGGCCATGACAGCCACCTGTTTCTCAAATAGGAGTTGTAAGTCCAGGAGATATCAAACATGTAAAACAGCATTGGGGACAAAATGGTATTTGAGTTTCTTGTGGAAACTCAAATGCTATCAACTGTGAGGAGAAGTAGAGAAAATGTAAAATTGTACATCAAGGTCAATAGCATCAAAAACCATTGCAAGATCAGGCAGAGATTACAGTCCTGGTAAGGATCATCTAGTTGAGCAACCAAGATAATTTTCTTCCAAAAAACACACACACCAAAGGGATATTTGA